GGTTTTCAGCGTTTTTCCTGTAGTGATATGATATGTATCATATTATACAAATATTCAAATTGATTTGATCTCAATTCAATTCCTGAATTTCTAAATCCAAAATTGGTAGCATACATTATGATCATTTCAAATATACTTTTTCATGGGAATTCAGAATAACCATTGGTTTTAATGTGGAACCACTGATCATCTACTATGATTAGTTTTATTTTAATCTCTTACTTTCTATTTAATAGATATAATTTGATTTATTATTAATATTATAAATAATTATAAAATATGATCAAGATTATATAGTATGACTTTTAATGAAATAAGGTAATGCTAATTAATTTTAAGTTCTAATTATTTAATTTTCTTTTTTGAGTGTGCTCTTGGTTGTTTTACCATTTTACACCTATAGCATAAATTGTACCAAATAGATAGAAAATTAGACACACACCAATAATCTTTGACAATCTTTTCTATTTCAATTTTGAACTCAATTTAAACTTCTTATTTCTTATTTAACATTACTCTGCATCATGTCTTTTACCTGAAATGTCAGTATAAATAAAATAATTTGTTCACAAGATTAAAATATAGATTAGCTTAACCAATAATATTTGCGATCATCAAAGTCTTACTGTACATTTGGCTCATGAGGTCCAATAATCTCTTCCTTTTTTATAATGACAAATATTTTGGTTGAAAATAATTTTAAGCATTTAATTAATTTAGCCCATCACCTATTTCTCCTACATGCTCTATGCCTCCAATAATTTCAATAACAAATAATACCACAAATAATCATATGATTGTTAATTTCTTGCCAACGATTTAAATAACACATATCTTATCACTTAAACATTTAACAGGATGTGAGAGCATAAAAGGAATAATGAAATAATTAATGAAACTTAAATTGTTTTTTCAATAGATATCGATTAACCTCTTTTTAGAGTAGGTGGATTCTCTAACCAATTTGCATATTTCATAGGTTCCTTTGTCTCCTGCTTAATCATTGTTGTATTTGAGAATCAAGAGAATACATTTATGCTCATAATATGCATCACCCAAATAGGTCATACTATTCACCAACATCATTGGTGATAATGAGCAACAAATTGGTGGGACTCATCATTTATATTCAAGAGCTATATCAAACATATTAGAAACAAACTTGATTCAAGATGGTAATTTAGCAATAAAGTTTGAGAGGACTGGCAAGCATGATTGTAATCAAATGATGAAAGTCGAGTGACAACATTTGAGATATGTATGTCAAGTGAAAGAAAATTGAAACCAATGGATGGGCGAGGGCAATAATTAGGGCGATCCATTGAATGTTGGCTAGAACTCTATAGTTTTTTAATCTCCATGCTTTTTTTTAGTTAAAACCCACAGCGGGGCCTACGCATTAATAACAAAAATTCGGTTACATAGTCCTTAGAAGGTTCCTCCAATTCTCTACTGCTCAAAAGAGCTACAAGATAAAAGAAAACCAAAAAACCTACGAGCCTGTGGATCCTTATCCTACGATTACAAAAAGAACATAAATAACTACTAGGGCTGTGAGTCAACAGGACCCAAAAAAGGAGGAGCCAAATCATCACATTCAGTACAGCTCTCCTGTAAAAAGGCAAATGATACAAGAAAAAGAAATGCCATAACCAAAAAAAGAATACATTGTGTTCATTGCTGCTCAAATGTCAAAACTTGTTGAAATACTTGCAAGGTATCCTCCAAAAAACCATGAGAAACTTATAGTAGATAATAACAGTCATAATTTGAAAACCATGAATAGTATAACAGAACTTACAACACTCAAACGACTCCAACATAATGCCCTAAAGAAACAACCTATTCCAATGCTTAAAATTATCATAAACATCAATATTCAAAATCGGCCAATTAACCCAGACCCCAAAACTCCAAGACAATCCAAATCAGGATACAAAATATTACCCAAAACCAACCCAGAATTATCAAACATCAACATCCAGTTGACGGAAAAAAAACTGCTCAGATAAACTCCCGTAACTCTTCAACATGGAAATAAAATACCAACACAAAGCTAACTGCCACCAGACAATATAGATAACAACCAAACTTGCTGCAGCACACCACAAAAGAACAGAGCACCAAGAAAAAAACCAAGGAGATCAACCATACCTGATATGAGGCATAGATGCCTTATCCACAGGAAGCATTCCTTTAAAAGAATGATCTAAATTAAGAATGTCCAACTCCTCATAGCCAACAAGAGAAGAACCCTTATTAGCTAACCAATCAGCACAGACATTGCCTTCTCGATAAATATGAGAAATGTCAAAATTCAACAAGTTCAATGAAGTCTTAATTTTCCTAATAAGATAAAAATTTTGAGCATTACCAGTAACACCATCCCTAATAATTTGGACAAGAAGCATAGCATCCACTTCAATCCAAATAAAGTTAAACCCAAATTTTAAACAAAGTTCCAGGCCAAGGAGAAGTGCATTCAGTTAATCCATAATAACATCTACTTGCTGCAAAGGAGCAGCAAAAGCTGCCAAGATATCCCCAAAAGAGTCACGGATAATACCTCCCGCACCAGCCCTCAACAGGCCAACATAACCATCAGTATTTAATTTAACATAAGGAGGTTTGGGCTTAATCCAATAAACAAAAGAATCAACCGTATTAGTAGTAAACATATCCAAATTAATACCAAATATCACTGCCAACTCTCTACACCTAGTGAAAGTTTTAGTAGAAATAACATTGTAGGTATAAAGCTGCAAAACCTTTCTTTTCACATTATTAATAATAAGGGCCGCATCCATCTTAATATTCTCATGTTTGGCCTCATTTCTAGCTTTCCAAATATACCATAAAATAAGAATAAGCAGCAAGTTAAAAAAATGGCCTTTAATAGAATGAAACCAACTATCTAACATCTTAACCAAGGTACTATGATTAGTCATATAGTTCTTACCCGTAATGCTATTGAAATATAACCAAACCTTTTGCACAACCAAACCATTAATAAAAATATGATCAATATCCTCTATATTCGAACAACATAAACACTTAGAAGCTAAAACAATACCTTTTTTTTGAAGCAGATTATCAACCGGTAGAAAGCCTTTAATGCATCTCCAAACAAAAGTAGAATATGTAATAGGAAAAGTACTATGCCAAATAGCCATGCACATCAATCTAGATCCTAAACTACAAAATATGGTACCTTAAAACTTAGCAATCAAAGATCCTAACTCTACACCTGATCTACTTTGTTGGAGCATACCCTGAAATATCATAAAGAACAAACTTAACAAATCTAGCTCAATTAATAGACCTCTTACTCTAACCATTCAAAAATTTAATGTCAAATTTAAAGGATAAAATCTCAAAATAATTTAAAAGGTGATAAATTATCAATAAAGTACTAGTAAAACTGCAAAACTTAACTTTTCTAAGGTTCCCGAGCAAACTTGAAATTTTCATTTACTTGCAGAGTCACTTTCACAAAGATTCTCAAATACTTCACAAAATACCTATCATCAGATATTCCTTGCAAGACCTTCATATTTCATCAAAGTATATTATTAACAAAAAGATGATAAACCGTCCAATTTAGACAGTCCAACCCTTCAAAATGTAATGCAGAAAAATCAACGCATTTGTGAGAGCAATCTCTCCAATGTCAGAGAAAATTTGAACTGTCCTATTAGAACTGCACAACATTAAACATCAACAACAAATCAAAAAATACAAAAACCAAGGCCGAGCACTTCCATAAATCGTTGAAAAAAGATCAAGCACTGTATCTAAGGAAAGAAGAGCTTAGCATACAAGAGCTCATTCCATGTATCTTGAAGACCAGGCAAGCACCAATGTACACAGTCAGAATAGCTCTTTGGGTTGGCGAGCTGCTCTGGTGTCAGCTTGTTCCACTGTTTCTTGTAGATGGAAGTGTGAGCGTCCTTTCGGTAATCAGAGAGCTGAGTGATATTAAGAACTGTCACTGGAATCTTTGTTCCAGTGAACAAATTTCCAACCAAACTCATTATGCTCTTTCTTGAGCAAACCCCCCAGTAATTCGGATCCTCTATAGGCTTTGTCTCTCCATAGCAGTTTCCCCCAGCCTCACCGCCCCAATTTTCACTCCTGCATAAAATTATTACAAATGTTCATTACGTAATTATAGGATGACATGCAAAAAGTTTACTAAAAACTAACCTCTCATGACAAGGAGACATGCTTGCGAAGAACACTCTGGTTTCTTTGGGATCCATGTTATGCTCCACCCACCTCATCATTCTCCTCACAGCCAATCTATAAGCATCCTCCGTCACCATCAAAGTGATGTTCTTCGTCTCACTGTCGAAGGAACCTCGACTGCAGGCCTCCAAAATCACACCATTTATACATAGATATAACAACACAAAAAGCTCTAAAAGAAGATGGGAAGAAAGTTACAGAATCTTCATCTTCTGTCCTGTCATCCACCACAGATATGTATTGAAGACCATAATGTCTATGCCCTTCCAATGCCGAGCATGCTTGTTAATGGATCCAACTCTAACAATTCGATCCTGTACTCTGTGCACAATGGCGTCATCTGAGTTTGATTCAACTAGGAATGGTGCCCAGTAGAACTCAATTGTGGCATTGTAGTTCTGCATCGATATGATAGCAGTTTGAAGATTTGTAAGAATTTGAGAATAGTTTTATGGTTTTGAAGATTTATTGGAGTTTGAGTTGATTACCTTGGCTGTGAAGATGGTGAGAGAACCATTGGTCGTCATGGATTTTGCGTTTTCAGGGATGGATCGATGGAGGAGGCAGACCAGTGAGACATACTGGCCACGGTTTAAGGAGTCGCCAATGAACATCATTCTCTTTCCTCGGAGCTTCTCGAGCATGAAGGTGGCATTGAAGCTAACAATATATAAAATAGAACACATCAAATGCATTATACTGACCTAGATGCGATTTTGTATGGTCAAATTGTGATATTGTAGTGTATGAATCTACTCTCATAGACGTTATAAAGGGGAAATTTTTTGCAGATCAAAAGTTTAAGATTATGAGTGTATCAACTATTGATATTTTTTCATGGTCACAATTTTCTCGCTGATGCAAGGAGTTATAAATACATTAGGAATTTACTTTACTTCGTGATCAACCAAACATCAAAAAGTTAAAAAGCAAAGCACTCATTATACTTTGCATTCATTTTTCCTCCAATCAAACAACCTCTAAATGGAGACTAGGGAGTAAGCTAAAAGTTATATATTATATGAGTGTGGGGCAGCTGAAAATGTTAGTGAAGTGGAATTGTCCGGAAAATAAATAAATTTTTGAAATTGATGTTTGTTTTATATACAAAAAATCTTTCTTTTAAATTCGTGCAATACTTTTTTCACATATATATGTTATATTCTGACATAATAGATTGTAACAATTTATTTTCATTACAAAAATTTTTAAAAACTAGTAAGAAAATTATAGCTAAAAATAATTAATGTGATATATTTATAAGAAATAAAGTTACTAAAAAGCTACCTAAACATCCTTTTAACGAGTAAATCTCAAAATGGTCTATACGCATGCAATTAATTCAGATTCAAAGTATCACATTTCTCTAATTTAATTTTCCACTTAATAAAATTGATCGAAAACAATTACTCAGAGACTAAATTAAAATCAATCATGTATGGTCAATGAAGCCAGCTGTTTCATGATCAACTTTTGTGCAAAATAATCTTTCTTTATGTAATATATATAACCCACCAGATAGAAAACAATAAAAATTGCTTCTTTGTTACAACATTCATTTGGAGTTCTGCAACTGCTTCATGGAAACAAAACGGTCTATAAAAATACTAGCAGCACATGTAGCATAAGCGAGAACATGTGAATAATGGAAAATTTTCCCACCTTCTACTAATATTAAATTATTAATTAGCTGTGCTACTCACTTAAGATTTCAGAAAACTTGCATAAGTCAATGAATCAGCTTCGTGGGAGCGTTAACTTCCCATGATTCATTTGTTCTAAGTTTTGATATTTACTTGAACTTGAATTAACGGCACTGAAAACAATGCAATCTGAAAGTTTTTGGCTTATTTTGATCTGTTTGTTGGGAGCTTTGACTATCAATCAAGAGATCTTAGGTTGGAAGTGTTCGTATGTGATGTGTTTGAGTTTGATTTAATTGGGCTAAATGTCTCAAAAAAAATTAATGGCACTGGAAACAATGCTGTCTAAAAGTTTTTAATTATTTATATATTGACAAAAATAACTTCCTTTTTAGTCAAGTACACTTGAAAATACTTTAAATAGGAAATGGATAAGTCCACAAAGCACAACAAGATAAGCAATATTTAATTAATCTGTTGCTGCTAGGACTAAATTATTCAAATAAGCAGTTCATGCAAAGCAGTACTTGCTCTGAATTCCGGAAAATTAATATTCAAAGTAAAAATGATTCGATTTAATGGAGACATTCAATTGGAACTCGAGTTATGCTTTTTAATATTAACTAGAACTTAGAACAAATCATAAATGATTTGAAACTTTTTTTTAGGTAAAATGTATTTTAATAAGGAATTTGAACCATACCTTGGCAAATCACATTCATGAGGCTGCCATCTCCAATGAAGATAGCCTTTGTCAGGTCTCCCATGAGCTTGGCAAGTAAGCTGAGGCTGTATATAAGGGCACTCTTCCTCCTGGTATTGAGGTCTTGTCTCTTCATCATAAACCCAACTCCCACTGAACAAATTGCATTCCTTTTCTCCCCTCTCTACCGCAAAAGGCAGCACTAAATCCTTCTCTATGACATAATTAAGCAAATCAATAATAAAAAACAAAATTAACAAACTATGAAAGACTTGTAAGCTTTCTTACCTTGCTCAACATGCAATGGAAGAAGCTGTTCTGGTTTCTCCTCTTCAGGCTCCTGCAAATTCAACGTTGATTGCTTAAGGATGCAACTGAAATCTTCACCATAAAGGATCACAACGAAGAAGACAAAGCAGAAGGAGATGATGTAAAAGGAGATTGAGCTCTTCTTCTGGTAGGAAGCTTGTGGCTTCATTGTGGAAGTTCTTTTGTGGAGGGAGAGTGGAGGAAATTGAAGAAAATGTATATATTAGTTTAGAGATTGAAAGGAGGAGTATATATGAAGGAAAGGTTAGTAGGTGGGATTCAGAAGGTGAAAGAAATAATGTCATAGTCCCCACTTTTGATATAATAATGTTGTTGTTTAGAATAATTTGGATGGTTCTCGCATGCCATTCCAAAGATAACTTGTAATCATGGTGATACATAGCTGTGTGGAAGAGCGGAGACCGTTTCTGATCGTTCTTTTGGCTCGAGTCATGACCATCGGATCCAGTGATTAACGAGGATTCTTAATGTAAATTAGGTTTGGGATTAATAATGAGGTGCCGAAGATCTAGATTGTAGTAGGTTTGGGATTAGGAGCAATCATGTCAGAAATGGCATCCTTATGCACTTCTCTTCTCAAGTTATGATTTTGTTCTTCTTTGTCTAAAGAACTTATATAACTTCTTAGGGGATATTTGGTTGGATTTTTCAAAATTCTCGTGTTTTTTTTAATGTATAAATTGTTTTAGTAGTGTAGGAAATATATTTTCATATTTTTTATGATATGTTTTAAATATATTAAAATGTGAATGAAGATAACACTGATAGTGGCGAGAACGGTTATAAGGGGGTAGGGCTGATGGCAGCGGTAGGCAGTAATGACCGGTGATGAATGTTGAGTTGTGTTAATGTGAATTACGAGCTAATACAACACAAGAATTATAAATATAATAAAACAAGTTCAATTTGGGCTATTTTCAAATATAAGGAAAATCATCGTAATTTTATTTTATTTTTTTTATACTTTTTATAAAAAACCTTGAAATTTTAAAATAAAGAAAATGGAATACAGTACCTTACTAATGCAAAGAACCCCTGAAGCCTTATTGCACTGTTGTTCTTGTTTGATAGATCAAATTTGACCAAGTATTCTTCAATAATTCATTTATATGATTAATTATTTATTATTTTGCTTGGTCTATGTACTTCACATCTTTATATTTTATTAGCAGGGCTTTGGAAAGTTGACCACGACAAGTGGGTATTTAAAACTGAAGGATCTATAAAGCCCAAAAGGATTAATTAAACACCATTACACAAAAAATCAGCATCAGCAAACTCAAGAGAAACTCTCCACTGTGATCAAAACTGCAGAAATTGGGCAGTTTGATCTCAAGGAGAAAGTAAAAAGGATTAATGAACAAACTGAACCACTTTTGCTCTGATGATTTTTTAGTTCAGAAATATGTGGTGTTAAAATGAGAATTGAATTATGTTTCAAGGGCTACTGAAGCAGAATCTTCTATGCAGATATTACTTTTTTTTGGGCTTGCAAATGGACAAAGTTTGACGTTGATGTTCAAACATAAAACAGAGCTATCAGTGAATAAATATGATTGCGTTTGAAGAATTATAAAATGAGGTTCTTTTCAAAATCTTTACTTAAAATTAAAAAATGCTAGTTTTTGGTGAATGGTCTTAATTCTCTGTTTATTAATAGCTAAAAAAACTAAGACGATGAGATTTGGAAAATTTAGGCTTCATTAGGATGACTTTCTTATTGCTTATTTAAACAGTTTTTTAGTACAAAAATTTTAATTTTTTACTAAAAAGTTTTCTTTAAGAAGCATTAAAAAGTTATCCCAAATTAAGGCTTCGTTTGGGACAGTTTTTTTGTTGCATATTAAAACAGCTTTTTTGACAAAAAATTAATTTTTGTATTAAAAAACTGCTTTAAGAAGCAGTAAAAAAGCCGCCCCAAACTAAGACTTCATTTGGAGCAGCTTTCTTATTATTTCTTAAAGCAGGTTTTTCAGTATAAAAAATAAAATTTTTTGCTAAAAAATTGCTTTACGAAGCAATAAGAAAGCCGTCCCAAATAAAATCTAAGTTTTAATATCCACAGAGAGAGAGAGATAGAGAGGAAATAAAACTTTTCTGAACACCAAAATTTAAAATAGGAATTGTTAGTGGAGCAGTTGTGAGAGGAACAGTGACTCTTGAATCCTTCAACTGAAAGAAAGAACCAAGATGAATTATTCGAAGCTTTATTCGTCCTTTACTGGCTGTTGTGTGAGAAAAAGAGAGGGGGCAAAGTGTTTGGTGGGCAAAAAGAGCGTGCAAGAGTTAATAATCGGTTAGGCAATTAGTAATAAGTTAATGAAGTAGGATTCGGGAGAACTGTCAGTTTAGTGTGAGGATAAGCATGGAGCTCAAATGTCAAAGTCAATTCCAAGTGGGCATTTCGTTGGGTGGATTATTTCTTTTTTCACGGAGAAGTTGCTTGGAAAGACTAGTTAAATTTTATTTATTTATTTTGGAATATAAATGAATTGAATAGGGTTGGCTCGGCTAGTTTTTAATTTTATGAATATATTTTAGGTATATAAAATGTATTCATGTATATAGTGGTGAAACGAGAGTGATATATCTCCAAAAAAAATTATTTGATGGATAAACAATACCTATATTTCAAAATTAAATTTAGGATTATCCTTCCTATGATTTCAGTGTATTTACGATAAAATTTAATGACATGACGGGATAAACCCAAGACACTAGAGATGATTCAATTCAAGTTCAAATGAGCACAAATCATGCACTTGAATTATAATTAAAAATCTTAAGACATTAATTGAAGGATCAAGTAGTCACCAAATATTGTATGCTCATTGTCAAATAAAACGCTTCAAGTAGATGAAGCCAACAATCCCAATATCATTCAATTCTTTAGTCATTAAAGTACTCAATTATTGAATAAATAATCTATGAATAAAGAATTTATTGTGGGCCGTTGGATGCAATGTTACAAAAATTTGGCCAATTTTATAAAATATCAAACTCAAAAACTATAATTATACCCCATTCTCTACAATATGGGGACTAGACTTTAGATTAAAGTGAGCTTGATGACCTGAAGAATGCTAGGATTATATTCGATATTTAATGCTAATGACTGCCATCAGTCACTGTCATGGCCTCACTGTCACCAGACCACCATCATCTAATTGTTATCATTTGGTTGTCATCATTATTTGACCAATGTCATCTGGCTATTATAGTCCATTCACCATCATTTAACAATCATAATATGATCTTCGTTGCTTGATCGGCATCATCTGACAATCGCCATATATCAATTACTTCTTTCAAAATCTCTATATTACAACTATAGGAGATCAAGAAAGTGTTTCTAATTTTGAAATATTGTCTACTTCAGTTATAAGGGAGAGCATAACTCTGTATATTTAAATATATGTAGATTATTTCAAATGAGCCAAGGTCTTTGATTTTTTTTCTTTTTAAAAATTTCACGTAAAAACTCAAATGTCTCATATATTCTTCATGTTTATTTATGTGTGTATGAGCGTATGGAATCTTCATTCAAAGCTATAACTGAAACACTCTTTATTATTAAGAATTTTCCAACATGAAAAAGTTTGGTCTTATGTGTTGGAAACATTTTGTACGTTCTATAAAACTCATGCAATGGATTACAATCAATCCCTCAATCAAGGATAGTATAATCTCTTTGGTGAAGACCACTCATGCCATATTTTGGAGGATCGTCTATACATGATTGAGGAGCATCAAGATTAAATTGTTCAACTCTTAAAATAGAATGAATAATAAATAGCACTATCATAACACGCAGCGTTCTCTCACCACAAAATCAATATGATGCCAATGTTAACCAATTTGATGGCACCCATGCAGTGCCTTATTAGGATCATACTACAAATGATCATAGAATTTGATGCTACGCATGCAGTGCTTCCTTGTCATCTTACTTTATCATGGCTTCTTCAAAGTCTCTTAGACACGACCAATTTAACCGATCCATCTCATGCGGCTTAGTCGACCCAAAATCTTTCGATAGCCTTAGTCTTAATGGACTTAAATTGAACTAGCATTACTAACCCCCGCCCACCCTTATATATGATAGTATAAGAGATGAAAGTCGATATATTTATTAAAGAGAAATCCTTTTGAGAGATAGGATTCAAGTTACTAATCATCACAACTTTCATGAGTCTTTATCTCTAACTATTGCCATTCTTTAATTCCTATTTTAATGGGGTTCAAATTATATATTACTGTTCATTATGATGAAACTTCTAATTATTATGATTATATTGATCATTAATAGACCGTCATGTATATATAAAAATCTTTTGATGTAAAGTGACAAGCTTATGCTTAATTCCACTATCACTGTGGTAAAAATATTCATGTTTTAGCCAACCTAGCCAAGCTTTCATCAATTACATCATTGCTAATTAGCGCATTATATACGATTCCCCCCAACTTTCTAGAATTTGTTAAAATAAGATAGAAACATTTAAAGAGTACTATTAAATATTTTCCTTCGAAGATGATCCAATTTTGAGAGCAAATCTAGAGTTACTATAATGTGTTTTTCTTAGGCCTCAAACATTTCCACTCATTAAAGCGAGGGACAAAATGTTCTTATCTTGATCTTATTCATCATGTAGAAAAACAAATAGCTATTGATGAGACCATCAACACCCATAAAAAATATTTAAATAATCATTAAGTAAACATAATAATTCACAAAATGAAATTGATTGGCCCTCCTCAACTAAAAAAAGTTGAAACAATTAAGAAACCAGATATACCCTTATCATCAAATTCAACTCTATTCATTCAATTATATCCCATTAAATAAATTTAGGACTAGCATTCTAATGGAGATCTAAAATTTTGAACGTCCTAAATGATCAAAATTATTAAAATATTTAATTGATAGAAATCGATCTCAATATTGTTACTTTCACCATTCAGTAGGACATTCAAATGAAAATTACTTTTAGTAAAGGAAGAAATTAAACATCTAATTCACCAAAGACACTTATGTCACTATTTACAAGAGCAATATATAGATGGCCAACCTCAAAATAAAGAAGATCAAAATAATTATGAAAAAAAAAATTATTGGTATTATTAGTACTATTGTAGGAATGCCTATATATATATAATCATACATAGGAAGATGTACTAAAGAGAAATTAAATTACTTTTCTTAACTTCGACTTTGAGAGAATATATTATCTAGATT